CAGCTATCGTAAGGGCTTCTAGACCATGCACAACTCACAAATCTGCCATACACAAGCGCACACACACACACACACACACTCGTGCGAAGATGCGGGCGCACACGCTTACTGACACCGACAGATGCGAGAGCGTGCTGCAAACGCCGAAGAATACGAAGGTGAAGATACAGAGCTTGATGAGATGATATAACGTCTAGAATGCGTTCCCCGAAGTAGACGCCCAGCAGCTGCGTTAGACACTCAGTTGATACGAGATAGCTCCGGGACCGAGTAGCAGCTGTACGGCTTGGGCCCATAGTGCTGCTGCACAATAAGCCCAATGGCCGTGCGCGGGCACTGCTTGGTTGTGGGTGATATCTTCAGGCGCCTGGTCGCCCTCGCGCTGGCGGGGAAGTTCCAAACCCCCGAAGAGTTGAAGACAGCCGGGAGCAGTGCTACATACAGGCAAGAGTTGGTTGGGAGGGTGCACCTTTCGCGCGTCGCCCAGGCATCGGCAGTGGCTGCGCAGCGCGCGCGCGCCGCCGTCGGGTGTGCCAGGCTACCCGGAGGCCCCAGGTGCAACCGCCGACGGGACAGTGCGCATAAGCGGCTGTGCAGCGAAGCTCCCCCGGGCTCCTGAACCAAATCAAAGGTCCAGTGTTGCTCGCGCCGCACCCTTCGCAAGGGTGCTGGAGGCACGTCGATGTCTTCCACATCTGCATCCTCGCCGCATCGGAGGCAAACCCAGGGCGAGGGCGCTGGGCTGCGATTCCTGCCGAGTGTCGGATGGGCGGAGGTGCCGACTGCATGGGCCCATTGCCGAACTTTCACGATGGTATGTTATGTTGTGCCTGTGGTCGGTTTGTATATACAGTGACAAGGACCTTTAGATCAATGCTTACTTCGCGATTCCTGTGTGAAATGGTCAGGAATGTATAAGAAATGCAATATGTCCCCGTCAGGCAACGTGCAAGCATGTACAAAAATGAATTCGCATCACAACGTGTCGCAATCCACGTGCAACCGTGATCTCCGCGGAGCTTGCGACCTTGTCTACGAGCCGCAAATCATGCACTTGGCGCATGACTTAAACACCTGCTTTGCGATGCTAGCTGTAGGATGTCGTAGGTAGGCTAGCCTCTGTAGACCCGAGACGCGGGCTGGCCATGCCCTGCCATTCTCGCATTTCAGACCTCCTTTCAGAACTCACACTGCTGCCGGCTCTATCCTCGGCCGCTGGCGCCCTGTTCACCGTTGCGGTCCCGGTTGCCCGCATGGGTTCGTGGCGTAGCGCCATGCTTGCGTGTCCCACCTCCGCGCTTGCGCCCGAACTGATGCCCCTGGCATTGCTGCGCTTCCCCCATGCGTGGGCGCGCGCGCGCATTGCTGCGGGAACCAGGGGCCAGAATGTTGCAGGCGAGTCGACGGGATCACTTCACAGCATGCCTATTTGCAGCGCGACGAGTCGCATGAGCCACAGGCATCGTGCACAGCAGGCTAAGCACTGGCAGCACTGCCTCGCTGTCGAACCGAAGGTGTAGCATGAACGCGGCTCCAACGCAGGACCCAATCGGCGTCTGCGGCGGCACATGCACCATCTCTCGTGGGTATTATCGTGGCTGTTGTCTGAGCTTGGGCTGTGCAGAACTGGGTCTTGAGGTTTTCCCCCCTCGCGCCTCTTCACGTCAAACGCATGTTCCTTTTTCGCAGCCAAGTCTGCTCACTGCATGGGGTCTCGCGCCGAGTGGGAAGTGCCAGCTTGCGCAGTGTGGGGGGGGGGGGGGCANNGGGGGGGGGGGGGGGGGGCAAGGGCGAAGGACCGCGACAAGAGGGGTCATGGCAGCGCCTGTCCGCCCCGCGGCAATGGCGACATCGTGCAGACAGAGAGAATAAAGGATCTGGCGTTGCAGCGCAGATGACAGCACACTGCACCCGAGGGGGCTTGTTTGGTTCGGGGACGGTGAGGACGAGCTTGAGGCGGCTTCGGGTTTGTTGTCTCCTCAGCTGGTGCAAACAGTTGGTGGTGAGTCTGTACGGTCTCACCCGGATTTTTGCTGCGACGAAGATCTCCAGATGTCGCTGGCTTTGCTATATGTACAGGATTTTCAAACACCAATGGGTTTGGGGAGGACGTTGTCAGGCTGCGGCTTTTGCATGGTGTTTTGAAGAGCTTCTTGCCGAAGTTGTCGTTCAAGCGTGGATGTGTTCCTGGATTGTTTTTGTGCGAGGGGCCATTGCGCGAGTCCTGAAAGCAGGTGTTAATGTAATCCCCAAGTCGTTCAGCTTAAACTGCAATTAAGGTGCCAACAGCAACTGGTGGAACGGCCAACCTGTGTGGGTGGGGGGGGGTGTGGAGCACGTAAAGTCGTCTGGACGGTATGGATATTGCACCTTCAAGCAAAACAGCGGCGAAGTTCTCAAAATTTCTCAAACATCTACGCATGCTGGGCGAACAGTCTGGTCTGGGCCTGCCCTGCTCTCAGACGGACGGCAGGGGAGCAAAAATGCCCTCCAGCTCTGTGCACGCAGGTCCGGCATGTCCGGCTATGCCGCTGTCGGATGACTAGACCGCTTTCCTTGCGGTTACGGTTTGCATCCGCATCGGAAGCCCGAGGATTTTGTTCTCCACTTTTTTGGCAGCGTGCGCTGACGACATCAAATTGATCGGCCGAAATGCCCGCATGAATGCCGACATCATGGCAGAGCAGGAGCGTGGACCACACGGTGCATTGCAAGATCCACGTGGGGCTGTAATCCCGTTCGCGATCGCAAACGACTGATCCGTCTGGTGCTGCTACCACTTGTGACGCACAGTCATATCTGAATGATAATCATAACACCTTTTGATTATCATCGACTGGCTGGGGTCGACTGCCATTTACTAAGTAACTAAATTCCAGCTAGGCTCATCCCCACGAAAGGGAAGTCTCAAGAAACGACAGACAGCTAATGCTGGAGACGTCATTTTGCCTCCAGCGCTATTCCGTCCTCATCTTGCAGAATAAATCTGCTCACCGCGCACCGCCTGGGCGAAAGTTGGTAGCGTTGGGCCCTGGAGCCCTCCTTGATGATCCAGTCCTGGCAACGATCATGCTCGGTGATGATGAGGATGATGATGATCATCATCATCATGACGATGATGACGATGACGATGATAATGAGCATGATGGTGATGCTGATGATCGTGGTGCTGACGCGGATGCTGAATGATATTGATAACAGTGATGATGATGATGATGATGATGATGCTGGTGGTGGTGGTGGTGGTGTTGCTAATAATGCTGCTGCTGATTGTTCTGATGATGATGATGACGATGATGATGATGATCCGGAGCACGATCATAATTGCCATCATCATGATCCGGGCTCCGGCGATGATAATGATGATGATGATGACGACGATGATGATGATGATGGTGGTGGATGACTATGACGGTGACCATCACCATCATCAAGATGAATCAGTATCATCACTATTAGCATGGAGGATGACGGTTCATGAGGGTGCTGGTGCTGTTGATGATGATGGTGGTGACGACCGACGACGACAAAACCACGACGATAACGGTGGTCTTTTAAATGCAGCAATTGAGCGATGCCCCAGTTCGACGACGTCGCGATGACGATGACAAAATCACCAGAGCAAAACATCGATCATCCCTCCTTTGCAGCGACTGAAACTTCGCCTATTTGGTTTGCCTCATATACTGAGCGCGACACAAGTTTGACGCTGCAACGGCATGCGCTAGCCTTGTAGATGCGAGTCTGAATCAGCCACACGATGAGGTGACTGCTCTTTAGTGGCTCGACCAGTATCCGCCCAAGTGCAGGACGAGATCTCCAATGTGCGTAAAGCCGCGAGGGGTCATCCTAGCCAAATGCAGCTGCCCCCGCGAGAAATGCGAGAAACGGACAAGAAAGTATGCTCCAGGCGGCCTTGCTTTTGGAGTCGTCATCAGAATTGGGGTCCTGATGCAGTATCTCTCCGATCTCATTCCAGTTAGAGTTAAGCTGTGCTGGCCTCTCCACGCAACCGCCGTTGCAGCCTCTTCTCGGCTTGCTTTAGCCGTTCCTTCTCCTTCCATTACACAAGCTTGCCGGAATACACTAGCTGCCTTCTGGTGAATGTCCATCGGCTCACGACAACTATCGTAAAAGGAAAGGTCTTAATTTTCTTCTCGCTCACGAACAATGGTCCTTCTACTCAGAAGGTTTGAGAGGCAAGTTGAGGTAAGTTGCAATGACACGACATGATGATCGTACACGATCACAGAAACGCTCTTACGCTCAGTGCAATGCCAAATGACAACCCCCCTTCACTGGGGGGATCAGTCGACCATGGAAAACTGAGATACAGCCCTGAAGGTGCAGGCGGAATTCGTAGTTTCCACTGATTTTCGGCTTCCATTTGCTGAAGCCATTGTGTTGAGACCTCACAATCTCAGGTGTTCCTGCGAGCGGCTGACCAATGCTTGAGGGTTTCGTTCTTGTTTGCTGCGACTTCTCTGATCAGACTAGTTCTGGCCTTAGCCTTGGCAGGACGCTGTTGAAACTCTTGATCCGGGCTTTGATCCTCAGTGCTGCATGTGTATACTTCTCTCTATTCTATCGAACATGTTTCCTTCTGGGATGCACCGTATTGATGTTCTGCCAATTCTTTCTCCATGTCACCGAAGTGTCCCCTCCGCTTCAGCTTCGGAGTCTGTTACCTGTCGTGCCGCTCAACCGGTTCAACAATTTGGACAAACTGCTGATACAAATTGTTTTTTTCCACTCTTGTTTGTGCTAAGTTCTGAAATATGCTCTGCGCCGGCAGACACTCCCCCAAAAGAATCACTCAATTGCCGTCTAGTCACTCTAGCCCCGTCGACCTGCCCTGTCCCGCCACTCCAATCCTCCCCACCCCGCGATATCTAGTGCCTTGTCCATCGCATCCGTGTCTGGAAGTGCCCGGTTGGTTCTGCTTTAGGGTTGATTCGGCCCAGAGCTTGTAAGGGGAATACACTACAAGTATCGCGATTTCAACAGCTAAGCTCATGCAAAGCTCTGCTACCATCTGCTATCCATGTGGATGAGACCCAGTCCGGGACGAAGGAGGCCGACGTCGGAGCGCCTCGCCTCGCAGTCAGGTCGACGGTCCACTCGAGGAAACTCAAGAATGCAGCTCAAGGCTGCGGCTCCCGATCCGTCTTACCTGCAGGTAAATACACTCTGACATTACAGGTCAAACAAGAGCCCCTTCCAGCCGTGTCACCTCGGACCGCATTGTACATCTCGCCATACAGCGCACGCGTGGTAGCTTGAGCTTGCCTCGGGAATGCTACAGTACGGAGAGTGTCACGATATCATGACGTGTCCTGATGCATCCATGATGGTCTGTACTCCAGCCTCTTGAGCTTTGCATCATCACCTACGGTGTGGTCCTGTACATATGACGGACGTGTCCAGATGAACGAAGGTGTGCAAAGCACGCAGTGCTGAGGACTCTGATGGACCCTCACATCTCTTAGTCCTGAATGGCCTTTCGCATCTCAGTGACGCCGACTTCTGTTGCCTGAGCCCGAACGGCCCGAACAGTGGCCAGCTCATCTTGCGTTTCGCCGCTGTCATCGCTCAGACATGCTCAGACTCTAATGACCATCTGCACCTCGAAGCCCCATCGCTCCAGGACCGGCTTCTGCACTGGCAAAGCCACCTGTCATGTCTAGCCCGTGTTGATGCACGCCTGACACCCGTGCCTTGCCTGATTCAGGTAGCGAACGAACTCCTCCTGGTCATTCACATCCTGAAAGGAACACGGCGCACGGAGTCAGAAAAGCACTCTGCAGAGCCACTTCCCTGAGTCCACGGCTCGAGCAAGCTTCCGTACCTGGTCCGTTCTTTCGCTGGCAACGAACATCCCAACCCAATTGTGAAGGAGGAGCATGAAATTGACACCCAGGCACATACTTGAATTCGAACCTTTTCGGGCCATCACATCTCCGAAACGGCGCGCAGAACGCTGCAGAAAAGGGAGATGCTACATGTAGAGTGTTTCTGGACAGCTGATTGGCAACTTGCTCACCATATCTGTAGAGCATGGGCCAGCCTTTAGGGTATAAGACTGCCCGCAGCAGCCGGTAGTAGGCTTGAATGGCATTGCGTCACGCTGTCCGCAGCTCTCACTCGTACCGTCGTCAGCGAACTCAATGTACCGCCATGGAACCATGGAGCCTCGCGAGAAAGCTCTCACTCGATCTTTCCCACGCGTCTCTGTCAAAAGTGCCGTGCACATGTAAACACTACACATGCATTTCGATGAGAATCGACTCAGTCGAAACATGCCCTCACGCAAAGCAAATGAATTAAACAAACACAAACGCAAAGCTACCCTGCAGAAAACGACGACAAGCGATCCATAGCTGCATAGTTTTCACCTGCTTTGTGACCCCTGCTGCCAAACCATGTCTTGCCGGGTGACAGTTCTGCATCCACTTCGGCATTGAATGATAGCTGCGGAAAGCAGAAAGCATCATCGGCATCCATTATTGAACTGAGCGTCGCCATTCTCCTGCAATGCACGCAAACAGCATGTACGCGGGGTGATAGGGACCGTATGCTTCGCAAAGCTTTCCCTCCTTCTCGTAGTTCTGGCCGTTCCCGGGCTCCAGCTTCCTAGGCATTTGCAAGCCACCGAAAGGATGGCTGGCTAGCTCGGCCCCCAAAAAATCCTTCACAATGCAAACTCTGGTCCTGGTCCTAGTCCCAAAAGAACCTAGGCCCAGAGTAGGCAGGCGTCTGATAGATGCGAAACGTCTTCACTCCGCCTTTGCTGCAGCGTCGTCTCCGGCGACCACCTTCGTAGCCGCGGACAAAGGCCTCCTGGGCCAATCGACGGCGGCCTCCACAACTGCAGCATCTACAGTGCTCCACCACTCTGTCTCGTTATGGGACTCACTCTAATTCATTCCCCGGTTTCATCACAAGCCGAGACTATTGTCTGTTGGGGCGCTCCAAAATGGAGGCAGTTTGGTGACGGCACTGAACCGTGAACAACCTGCCAGTTTGGGCCCCTAGCTGAAGACATCAATGTCTCTCCGGCGAACAGCATGCAAGAAAGGCTGGAACCTTGGTCGATTTGGCTTCCACCGGAAGTGCTTTGCAGGCAAACATCGCCATACGGCCCCGTGACGCCATGCAAGAGTATTTTGAACCTTGGTTAACTGGCAGGGCACCCACTCCACAGAACTGTAAAATCACTGTAAAACGAAGAGTAAGTAGTCCAAGATGGAACAGCGACGGCACTAGCCCTAATTCGAGCGAGGCGCCTCTCCGTAGATTTTTTGGAGATGACAATCTGCTGCGGGGTGTGGCCATTCTGTGGCTGTGCGAAGTGCAGATGCTGGTCGTGAAGCATTAAACACTTCGGGTTCAAGTCGGGGTCAGCAATGTCACCGAAGTACATGTTGTGCATGTACTCATTGCACAGGTACCGGTCTTTGGTATACCACCAGAACTGCTTCATCTGCTCCGAGTAGCTGTCGGATGTATATGAGCAGTCGCGAAACGATGGAATGCAGCCCCTGCAAGGGAAATCCATTGGTCCGTGCACACTCCACTTTCGTCTGGAACCAGTAACATCCTGATGGATCCTGAAACCTCTCCATTTCCCACCTTTACTCTGCACCCGTCACTCTGTGCCTGCTCGGAGAGGTTGGGTTGCGGCCTACCGCTCCCGCGTGCGTGATTTTGGTTGGGATGGGGCTGTAGTCCCGTTCCCCGTCCCTGTCCCCGCCCACGCTCCTCAATCATGAAAAGCTGCCCTTGGGCAACACATACAACTTGACTACAAATACCCCATGATTCAGTTGCAAGCACGAGTTCCCTGTGCAAGCTGCCTGTCCTGACCATCGCTCCGAGGGCCCGACGGTGTCGGCACTGCCCGGATGGTTCTCGAAAAGCTTTCACAAGCGAACAGGCCGACACATGTCTGGACGCGCGACGTTTTCTTTCATCCTGAACGGGTCCTGAATGGTGTTTCTACCGGCTGCGCGTATCCTCAACCTAGACTTTTCCTTCGCCATCTTGCCTGCTTTCCTCGCGGCTGAAAGTTTCATCCCGACCCGGTATATGTGGCATGCAGGTCAACGTCCTTCTCGGGGAACTTTGGAAGAAGGATTCCCTGACAAAGAGAAAAACCCCGAAGGATCCAACCGTATGTACGTGTCAGCAGAGCGCAGTCAGTCCCACCAGTGTCCAAACGAAGACCCCTGATCCACCCTAGCTTCACTTCGCCGGCTCCCTTTCTCTCTCCTTCTCCAAGGCTTGGAAGGGGGACGGCCTCTCTGGCTTTGTTCCTTTCTTTAGTTGGTATGCTTAAGCCCCATACGAAGCCGGTGCGCCTAAGGATGAAGGTGCTATCCTGATTCCTGTCTGGAGGACAGTCGAAGTGGGGCCGGGGTTCAATTACCAACAAGGGAAACCAAGGCCGAAGCGAAACGAGCTGCCTGCCAAAGAAGTAAACCTTGCCGTCGTCGCTGGGCTGATAGCAGGACGGCGATGGCATGAGACACATATCCTGCTGCAATCGTTTATCCACTTGATCATGGTCGCCATCACCATCAACACCGGCATTTCAGCAGCAACAGCAACAGCAGCAGCAGCAGCAGCAGAAGCAGAAGCAGACGCAGAAGCAGCGGCAGCCGCAGCCGTAGCTGCAGCCGCAGACACAGCCACAGCGACAGCACAAAAATAGCAACAGCACAAAAAGCAACAGCAGCAGCGGCGGCGGCGGCAGCAGCAGCAGCAGCCACAGCGGCAGCA